ATGCTCCATTCAGGCTTGGCTGTTCTGCTCCCAACCCAGGACCCTGTTAAGAAATCAGCATGTGGCACAGCCCAGGTCCTTGTGTCCCTGTTATCCAAGTGGGAGACCCACATGAAATTCCAGGCTCACGGATTTAGCATGGCCATTCCCTGGCCATTTCAGCCATTTGGGGGAGTGAAGCAGCAGATGGAAGATCTCTTCCCTTTTCTGTCCCCACCTCTTCTGGGTCTCCCACATGGGTTCAGGATCCCAAAGCATTGGGCCAACCACAACTGTCCTCTCAGGCCACAAGCAGGGAGCCAAATGGGAAGCAGGGCTTCCAGGATCAGAACTGGCATTCACATGGGATCATGGAGCATTCAGTGCAAGGACCTTAACCTCTAGGCTTACTTGCAAGTGTAGCAGCCTGGCTGGTGGAAGTTTCCCAGAAGTCACTCCTCACTTGCCATGTTCTCTCTCAGCAGCCCTCCCTCCCACACATCTAAACCCACTTCCCTGAGCGTTCTACAGCCCCCCATGCCCACCAGCATGCAGATCCACAAGCCCAGTTCTCTGCTGGTGTGCTGTGCTAGCCTGGGGCCCTGCCTGCTGACCCAGGGAACACACACACTCACGTGCAGCTCCCCAGACCCTGTCTGCTGCAGTGTAGGCATCTGCCAACCACATATCTTAAAAAAAAAAAATAGAGAGACTGGCTTGGTGGCGCAGTGGTTAAGGTCCTCGCCTTGCACGCCCGGGATCCCATATGGGCACCGGTTCTATCCTGGCAGCCCTGCTTCCCTTCCAGCTCCCTGCCTGTGGCCCGGGAAAGCAGTCGAGGATGGCCCAAGGCTTTGGGACCCTGCACCCGCGTAGAAGACCCGGAAGAGTCTCCTGGCTTCGGATTGGCATAGCATCGGCCGTTGCGCTCATTTGGGGAGTGAATCATCGGACAGAAGATCTTCCTCTCTGTCTCTCCGCTCTGTATATCCGCCTTTGCAATAAAAAATAATAAGAATAAATATTTTTTAAAAAATAAAATAGGCAAGTATGCTGACACTGATCTAGCTAACACAAATTTGGAATTAACCAGGCCAACTATGTCCACCAGCGATTAGCTGCTTTTCTCCCAGCATGTAACACTTGCTTAGGTACAACGCAACTAGGCAGTTGGTTACAGTTGGGGCCCCAATTCCTTCCATGAGGCCAACATCACTTGAATTCTAAAACCAAAAGATGTCATAGCGACAAAGAACTATAGACCAACATCTCAGATGTAAGAATTCTCAGCAAAGTGCTTGCTCAGTGAATCCAACAGCACATCAGAAAGAGCATTAACCCAGACCAGGTGGGAGTTATTCCTTGTATGGGAGATGGTTCAACATACATAGATCTATAAATATGACACACCGCATCCATGAGCCAAATATCAAAGCCATCTGACTATCTCAATAGATGCAGAGAAAGCATTCAATAAGAATCATGCCAAAAACCTTAAGGAAATTGGGTTTAAAAGGATTGGTCACCCATAAAATCAAGATGATACATGATAAACTTGTTGCCAGCACCAGAGTGAATGGGGAAAAGCAGGAAGCATCTCCACTAAGATCTGCAACCACAGATGTCCGCCCCTCACGGTTACTATTCAGTGCTGCCCTTGCAGTTCTAGTCAGAGCTGTTAGCCACGAAAAAGAAGTCACATGAATGCAAGTTGGAAAGGAGGAAGGCGAATTATCCCTGTGTGTCAATTGCATGATTCTCTATAATGGGGAAACCCGAAGACTCAACCAAGAGACTGTTGGAACTCAGTAGGAAAGTCTGCAAAATTTGTAGGATACAAAATCAACACATAACTGCCTTAGTGTACACACGTAATTCCATGGCTGAGAAAGAATTTACAAGATCAGTCCCATTCACAAGAGTGACAAAAGTTAACTACGATGGAGCAAACTTAGCCAACAACATGAAAGTAACATGTTCATGATGAAAAATACAAACGCTACAGAAATAGAATAAGACACTGAAAAGGAAATTCTGCTGTCAGTGGATCGGTAGAATCAATGTCATCAAAATGTCCGTGTTACTGACAGTAGTGGATAAATTTATTGCAATTCCAACAAAAATACCTACAACATTCTACTCAGACCTAGCAGAAAGGATGCTAAAATTCACATGTAGAAACAAGAGAGCCAAAATAGCGACAGCAGTCTTCGATAACAAAAGCAAAGCTTGAAGCATCACAATATCCGACTTCAAGATGTGATACAGGGGAGTGGTCAGCAAACAGCCTGGTCCTGGCATGACAAGAGGCAAGCTCATCAGTGGGACAGAATAGAAATCCCCAACATGAACCCAAACAGCTCTAGCTAACTTTTCTTGACAAGAAAATGAAACAAGCAAACAAAAAAACAAATGCAACCAAATTTAAAAAAAGGCAAACCACAACCAAAAAAATAGTCTTTTCAAGAAATACTGTTGGAACAATTAGATATACTCTTGCAAAACAAAGACCCTACCTTTCACTTTCTGCAAAAAATCAACTCCAAGTGGATCACACACATAAACCTGGGAGTTGACGCCATCAAACTACCAGAAGAAAGTAACAGGAACATAATTCAAGGCATAGGAAACACTATCAAGAAAAGACTGCCAAAGCTTAGACCGTTCAAGCAAAATTCAGGCAATGGGATTACATCAAGCCAAGAGGCTTCTGAGACAAGGTGAATTATCACCAATGTGAAGAGACAGCCGACACTGTGGGAGAAAATATTTGCAAAGTCCCCACGGGAGAGAGGACAACAGCCAAGATTTACAAAGAACCGCAGAAATTCAACAACTGCAAAACAAACCAACCAGTTATAAAATCGGCAAAACACAGGAACAGGTATTTGTCCAAAGATGAAATTCAATGGGTAACATACACAAAAAGTATGCTTAATATCTCAGGGAAATCAAAGGAAATCCCAGTGAGGCTCCACCTAACTCCAGTGACAATGGTTTAATACGTGCATCAACAAACGGTAATTGCTGGAGAAGATGTGGGAGAAATGGCAGCCTGATCCACTGTTGGTGGGAACATAAACTAGTGCAAACACTGCAGAAGCCAAGATGCAGACCCCTTAGGCAACTGGAATACAGAGCTACGGCACGATTCAGCCATCCTGTTCCTGGGAGAACATCCAAACACAATGAAATCTGCATATGAGTTAACTGTTCTAAGCCTCAGGTTTATAACAGATGCTCCGCAACAGATGAATGGATAAAGTGGCATATTTACACAATGCAATACTACTCAGCCATGACAAAGAATGAAATCTGACTATTCATAACAAAATGAAACCAGCTGGAAACCATGATACCATTACACTCAGTAAAAGAAACCAGTCTCTCAAAAATACATATCGTATGTTCTGATTCCCAACAATGAATACACAGGACACATACAATGTAATCTCTGTGAGATCAGCCTATTGGAAATTCAGGTTGAAAAATCAAAGAGAAAATCAGAGAGCTTTTACACTACAAAAGACCGGCTATGCTAGAAACCAAACAAAATGTAAACACAATTAAACAAACAAGCAAGAATGCACAATGTCACTGCTGCTTGAAGCACTGTAGCTTCTAGGACCCATTTGCATTGACTGATTTAAAAGGAAACCAGAAAAAAAAGAATTATGATAATTGTGTCAGTAATGAACTTTTTATTCCTTGTTTTTCTTTTTTAGAAGGTTCCTGGTTCCTGTCTTGGAACACACCCTTGCCGTGGCTCCTCTGCACTGTATTTCTTTTTCAATATTGACTTCTTTCTTGGAAAGGCAAAGCTAAAGGAGAAAAGAAACAGGGAGAGACCCAGATCTTGCGGCTGCTGATTCACTGCCTTCGCAGCCAGGAGCCAGGGGCCTCTGTGGGTCTCCCACGTGGATGCAGGGACTCGGGCTGTTGTAAGAGTTTAGAATAACCGCTTGATTCTGCTTCTGTATATTGCTTTCTGCTGAGCAAGTGTAGAGCCATGTTAGAATAAATATAGAAAAGTCATTTCATGAAACAAGTAAAGTTTCAGTTTCCCAGACATGAACAAGGCAGCTGCAAGAATGGAGAAGATAAGGAAGCAAGGCCAATGCAACAAGGCCGATGCAAGAATATAAAAAATAAGAAAGTGAGACAGTTACAGAGAGATAAGAAGTTTGAGAAAGTACCGGGTCACCTAGTCCTAAGACGAGGAATGCAGACTGTCAACAGTTAAGAAAATATACAAAGTTTAAGGGACCCCTGGGCTATCTAATCTGAAAGTGAGAAATGCTGACTGTTATGCAGAGTTTATGATTTTGCCCTATAACAACTGTTCCAAAATGTTTGTGAGGCGCGCAGAGTCCTGGGTGCCTCCAGAGACTCTGTTGCCCATTCGCGAATGCTCAATAAAATCCTCATGCTTATTGCAGCCTCTGCGTTTGACTTGTTTTGCCAATGACGGTGTGGCTCCCCTCCACCGGGTTGGACTCTCCCCGAGTCGAACACTGTGTCCTGCTGCTCTCCCAGGTGCGTCAGAAGGGAGCGGGATGGGGCCCCAAGCAGCACTCACGTGAGAGGCCCGTGCCGGAGCACCCCTCAGCTCCAATTCTGTCACAGGACAGATGGGCCTCCCTTCTCGGCCCTCCCCTGCAGCCGGGCACATGAACAGGGTTCCTGGCCAGTGGGCACCAGGCAGGCTGTGCTTCAGGTCACCGGGCAGATGAAGGACGGGGGCAATGTGGTGCCGTTTATGTTCCCAAAGACAAACAATCTTTGTCTTCTCTAGCCTTCTGTTCATGTCAACAAATAGATGGATCGTTTTTTAAAAAATTAGATGAGGAAAATAAATAAAACAATCTTTGACCAATAAGAAAAAGACAGGCAAAGCAGCGGCTTTGTTCCTGTTTTCAAAATACGCTGAGAAAACATTGAGATATCAGCCAGGTACCCACGGAAAAGCACGACTAACAGGTGGGGTTGGCAGGTGGCCGAAGGCCCCAGGGAGGGAGCACCCGGCTGGCCCCGCACAGCCCGACTCGCCATGCCCGCACCCACGACCCGGCCACCCGCACCGCCCAGACGCCCCACCGACCTGCGCCTGCAGCCCCGAGCAGCGGCCCTGTCACCCCGACCTTCAGCCCCGCAGCAGCGGCCCTGTCACCCCGACCTGCAGCCCCGAGCAGCGGCGGCCCTGTCACCCCGACCTGCAGCCCCGAGCAGCGGCCCTGTCACCCCGACCTGCACTTGCAGCAGCGGCCCTGTCACCCTGACCTGCTGCCCGGCAGCACCTGCCCTGTCACCCCGACCTGCAGCCCCGAGCAGCGGCCCTGTCACCCCGACCTGCAGCCCCGAGCAGCGGCCCTGTCACCCCGACCTTCAGCCCCGAGCAGCGGCCCTGTCACCCCGACCAGCGCCTGCAGCAGCGGCCCTGTCACCCCGACCTGCAGCCCCGAGCAGCGGCCCTGTCACCCTGACCTGCTGCCCGGCAGCACCTGCCCTGTCACCCCGACCTGCAGCCCCGAGCAGTGCCCTGTCACCCCGACCTGCAGCCCCGAGCAGCGGCCCTGTCACCCCGACCAGCGCCTGCAGCAGCAGCCCTGTCACCACGACCTGCAGCCCCGAGCAGCGGCCCTGTCACCCCGACCTGTCAGCAGCAGCCCTGTCACCCCGACCTGTCAGCAGCAGCCCTGTCACGCACCGTCACCCACCGGGCTCCCTCTGACCCCTCAGGACCGCGGCCGAGGACCACGTCGGTCGGACCTCCGGGTGGCCCTGCAGAGCTGCTCAGGGTGCCGGGACACAAGGGAGCAGCTCCCAGCTGTGTCCAGCATGCGCTCTGGAGCCCCCGGCTGCAGCAGGCGTCCAGCGGCCTCAGCCCTGCAGCCCTCCGGAGCTCCTTGGAGAACTCAGGCTGGGATGGCGGGAAGCACACTGCGCAGGCGCTGGCCCTGAGGTGTCGCGCGCCTTGCACTGTCCTTCCTCAGGATGTCAGCCCTGAGGGGATGCTCAATGACTCTGTGTGCTGTTGCACAGGCCAAGGGGACTTGATGTGGTAGTTGCTGGGTACAAATATCTGTAGAAAATTAACTCTGGGGCCCAGCACAATAGCGTAGTGGCTAAAGACCTAGTCTTGAATGTGCCAGGATTCTAATCCCGGCGACCCCACTTCCCATCCAGCTCCCTGCTTGTGTCCCGGGAAAGCAGTCGAGGACCGCCCAGAGCCTTGGGACCCTGCACCCATTTGGGAGAGCTGGAGGAGGTTCCTGGCTCCTGATCAACACAACACCGGCTGTTGCGCTCACTTGGGGAGTGAATCATCAGACAGAAGACTTTCCTCTCTGTCTCTTCTCCTCTCTGTATATCTGCCTTTCCAATACATAAATAAAATCTTAAAAATATGTGAGTATATTTTAAAAAAAGAAGAAGAAGAAAATTAATTCTGGCGGCGCATGTCCACACCGCATACGGGGTACAGTCTCACGGCTGACCCCTGGCTGGGGTGCAGTCTCACGGCGGACCCCTGGCTGGCACATCAGTGTGTGGGACTGACAGCTCTGGCTTTGGCCCACAATGCATCTGTCAAGAAGCCACGGATTTGCCCCCCACAGACTGTCCTGGGATTTGGCCAGGTAAACAGCAGTTATATCAGAGCTACTTGGTCACTCCGAGGGACGGACCTGCCTCTCTGTGCCCATGCACTGCCCTGTGCCATTCCATTGCAGCCTCCAGTGTTGCTGTGAGCTTGGACCCCATACCCAGTAGCCCTCAAGAGAACCAGAATTTGTTTTCTTTTTCTTTTTTTTTTTCTGTAATATCAGCACAGTCTCTTTGGGGTTGAGGGAAAGAGTTGTATGCTTGCTATAGGGGCCTTCCTCTTGTGGGACACCATCTTAAAAAAGACCTGTCAAGGAAAATAATTTTTTTAAAATTATTTTAAAATAAACATTTCTGAAGTGCAAAAGTTGCAGGTGCAATATGAGAGCATTATATCTGATGTGATAAAATTTAAATATTTTAATGAATAAATGACAATTATAAGCTATTATGAATTTGGTACCTTCAGAAATGAAAAAAGAATCACAATATTCCAGTTAATAGGAAGGGAAGTTAGAGCAGTTGGCTCTAAACAAGATGGAGGAAAATGAGTCTGAATTTTGTATATTATTATTCTCATTTACTTAGTGTTATCATCTGCATCTCTTGGCCCACTTGTGGTCTAGGACCTGGAGAGAAGTTCTGACTCTCCAAAATGAGGGCGGACATGGAGGGCCAGGACTCCACTGATTCCAGAGCTGGAGACGTGTGGGCGACCAAAGTCCCCTGCATACAGATGGATGTTGTCCACCTAGTTCACCAAGAGCTGGGTTGGAGAGGGCCTGGAGAGCTGTCTTCCTAACCTCTCCTGGCCACCATGTGTAGGGTGCCCGCCCGCAGCTCAGGTCCAGGATGCCAAGCAGCAAAGCTCTGGGAGCTGCCTGGTGTCAGCATCCCAGGGCTGCCCACCTCAGCACGGATGAGGCTGTGATGGGGGGCAGCTGAGGGATAGTGCCCCACAGCGGTGGGCAGGCTTGCTGGGTTAATTGACATGATGCACCCGGTGGCTCCTCACACCCTGCCCTTACTGCCTCCTCCTCCTTCAGGAACAACAATGAGGTGTCAGTTGAGTCAGTTGAGTGGGTGGGTGGGCAGTTGAGCTCATTGGAATGTGAGGACTCAGGGCCCACTGCTGGGAAGTTAGAGGGAGTCTTGATAAAGGGGTGGCCTGGCCCTGTGCTTATAGTCACCCTGAGCTGTTCCTGGCTCCTGATCAACACAGCCCCGGCCGTTGCGCTCACTTGGGGAGTGAATCATCAGACAGAAGACTTTCCTCTCTGTCTCTCCTCCCTCTGTATATCTGCCTTTCCAATAAATAAATAAAAATCTTAAAATATGTAAATATATTTTAACAAAAGAAGAAGAAGAAAATTAATTCTGGGGGCGCTAACGCCGGAGCATAAGGTTCCTTCATTGATGTCCTGGGGAGAGGTGTTCTCCACTTGTAGCTGACCAGACGCCAGGAACCTTCTACAGCCACTGCAAGGATGCTTCTTCAGCTTCTTCTTTTAATTAAACCAACAGCGGTACCAGCACTAGACCAAGCAGGGCTGCAGAAGGGGGGCTACTCGTCCCGTAATGCTGACAAGGTATTCTAGGTTGTCTCCAGGCCCGAGACCAGGAATGACTGACAGGTCTGAACGTTGCTTGTTTCCATAATTGCAACAGGAGGAATGCTGTTTGGAATTAAGATAGGGAAGACTAGAGCTAGGCCATGTCCTCGTTTGTTTTGGATGAACTGGATTGGGCACAGAGAAGTATCTCTCTGTTTTTATTTTATTACCTGAAAGATTTCTTGATTTTCATTCAAAAGGCAAAGTTACACACAGAGAAGCAGAAACACTGTCTTCCGCTGGTTGGCTACTCTTAAATGACCGTCATCTTGGGAACTTCTTCTGCGTCTCCCACGTGGGGCAGAGGTCCAAGAATTTAAGCCATCTACCAGCTACTATGCCGTCAGCATCATGCACAAAATGATCACAGCCAGCCCTGCCGGAGTCCAGCTCCTGGGTTCGGAGCTGGAGAAGGGTGCGTGAAATAGGTGTAGAAAGAAGAGAAATGGACCACTACTATTCCAAGATCATCGTGCACCATGCGAGAAAGCTGTCCACTTCATTTATACAGGAGCAGTCACAAGCTCTGGCACAGACCTTTTACGTCATGGTGTTGCATGCACTCATCTGCAGGGTGGGGCCCCAAGCAGTGCAAATTACACAAGTTTTCTTTAAGGGCAGTTTGAGAAAGTTTCAAGCGGGGCACAATTTACAACAGCTTGAGAGTTGAGTGAGGAAGGATTCCGCTTTCCTTGCTTATCTCGGCTTGCCAGCCCCCGCCTGCTCTCCTCAGGTCTGGGCTCCAACCTTGGCACTCCTGTGACAACCAGACCCCTACCTTGAATTATGTATGGGTTAAAAGGTCGGGGGCCTTGGTTCATGGGGATTGGGGTCATGGACATAGTTGGCCATTAGGTCTGTAAGCTCAGCCTTTTGGGTCACAGTATCAGGATGGCCTTTAGGGTCATAGCAGTTTCGGTCCATACCCTCATCACTTTGTTAGTTTCTAAAATTCTTACCAAGCCATTTCCCAGAAAGCATGCTAAATGTCTGGACCAGATTTCAGGGCAATGGGTAGGCACACAATACGGTGTCCAGAAACGACATGGGTTTAATTGTCCTCCTGTGTGCAGTTAAAGGCCCACTCACCAAGACATTATCAATAACATTAACTGTCAAGCTCATGTTGGTTGAAAAGCCATCTCACAAGGGCAAACAATGCCTCAACAGATTACGAAATTCTTAGTGAGGTGGTTGAGTGTCCATGCAAAAGGGGGTCAAACTGTGTCAAGGGGGTCAGAGAGAAATCCGCCAGGCCCTGCCAAACAGCTGGAAGCTCCCCCAGGCCCCGCCAAGCAGGGGAGCTGTTCTCCTCACACCTTCGCGTTATTCACACTGACTGCACGGACCCCAGCACAGCCCATGGCTTGTCTAGGGCATCAGAGGTCACCGCAGCATTACCACCTGCATGTGCAGGCAAGGTAGATTCAGAGCTCATGTGACTTAGACACATGTGCTTGTGCACATGCGCTCACACACAGAGCGTTGTGGGGGCTCTGTGACTTTCTCTCACTCTCTCTCTTTCTCTCTCACACAGAGAGAGGAGGGAGATGGGTATGGTGCTGAGTTCACACACACAAGATGAGGAAAGGGGTGCAGTTGACGCCCTAGGTCCTGATTGGGCTGTGAGCTGTGCACATGACGCTGCTGGTGACTGCAGCAGCTTTTCACCTATCTCCCGGGATGCCCTCCCAGATCGCTGCCAGTGGGGATGCAGGAGGTAGCTGAGCTCCAACGCTGCCCACACCTGCCTGCACTGGCCCAAACACTCTTCTTACAAGGGCAGCTGGGAACCTACACATTGGAGTCACTTGAGCTGGCATGGGGAATTTTCCT